TAGGTATTTTTATCATGACAGGAGTCCAGAGTGAAGGCTGTATAGTGAAGTGGACCTTGGGGGAGGGATTATAAAACAATGACAGAATTTTTCTTTTACTTTTCCAAGAGGGTATTTTATTGGGGGGGAGGGCTGGGAGGGGAGAAAAGTGCAATAATGAATGAATGGAAGTGCAAAGTCTCTGTAAATTTTCATTGAAATTAATAATAAATTTTAGAAAATAAAGAAAAAAAATGGGACACCATGTTTCACTATTTCAGTGAGTGTTCACAATTTTAACAACTACAATTCTGGCTACAGCATCGCTGTGTCTGTCTTGAATCTGTTTATGCTGAAATAAAGTTCTTTTATATCGAATAAATGGTTGTCCACAACAACAACAACAAAAATTTAAGTTAGAGTGAGGAAGGCAGTGGATTTATAACTGCTCATGCTAATAAAATTGTATGATGGCATGGAGGAGGAAGAGTGGAACTGTATCCACATTTACAGTATTTATTTATTCTTCTTAGCAAAACCATTTATGGAAATTAGGAACTGCATTGGAACATGTATCTCCAGATTGGAAATGATTTCTACAATCATATTGATAATATTACTAGCCTTAAACTTAAAAAGAGTATATTGCTCAAAATTAGTTGTTATATATTTGTTTAAATTTTTCCCTCTTCTAACAACTGGGACCTAGAGGGAAAAGACCAGAGAATGGCCAAAATTATTGGGGCAGCTATTGCTGCCAGTTTAGGGCCTGTGTCAGGAAAAGGAAGTCTTACTCATATACCGTGCCACCCAAAGGTAATAAAGGAGGTCAGAGTTGCTTCCACTGTGGAAAGATGGGACACTTGAATAGACTGACAGTGTCACAGACGAGAGCCACAGATAGCCAAGGGAGGAGAGAGGAAGCTCCCACTCACTTGCTTTAAGTGTGGATCTGAAGGACACTTGGCCAAGGGCTGCCCACATCAGGTCCTCTTGGCTGTCAGGACTGACAGACCCCAGCTCCCAGCTGGAAACAAAGGAGGACGCTTCAAAGATTCAGATCGTCCCAGAAGAGCCATGGGTGAGCATTAACATTGCTGATAAGTCTATCCATTTTCTCCTGGACACAGGAGCCTATTCTATAAGCCTTCTCAGGTCCATTCTGTTCCCACTATTCCTTAGTTTTTGGAATTGACTGAAAACCTCATAAGCAGTTCTTTATTTCACCTCTGTCTGGCATGTGAACTTTCTACCTGTAAAACCCAATGGTCAATGGAAGTTGGTCCAGGGCTTAAGAACAATAAATGAAATGGTTCGACATCTTGTGGTTCCTAGCCCTTAGACTGAAATAGACAAAGTGCTAGCCAATAAGACTTTGATTTTTAAGAATTATCCTCCTTCTGTAACTTCGTTTGTGCCACTGTTATAACTTCTAGTTGGAATGTTATTGCTTCTAATTTTTGACTTATGTACATTTAACTTGTTAAATTTGTCTCTTCTGGGCTGCAACAGTCCCATGTTACAACGATGCCCCTTCAAGGATATGAACCTGTACCCCTAAGTACAACTGATAACAGGGCACCTAAATCCAAAATTATTTAACTTGCTAAATTTGTCTCTTCTGGGCTGCAACAGTCCCATGTTACAATGATGGCCCTTCAAGGATATGAACCTGTACCCCTAAGTACAACTGATAACAGGGCACCTAAATCCAAAATCAATCTCCCCAATACTTTATGTGTTTCCTATTGCCAAACGGGTCCTTTAGAATAGTGAGAGAAGATCTTCACCCTGAGACCTGCAGTGTCCTTTTCCAGTAAGAAGTACCGAAGGGAATGCAGCACCCCCTCTCATAATAAATCAGGGTGAAATCTCTATCAGGGAGGAGAGACAGGGAATGGCAAAGAACACATGGAGAAAAGAGATTAATCAGAACTGGTTTTGAAAGGGACTATGGCAATGTTTTGTATACCAAAACAAAAGGTGTAAGCCAGGGATGTGTCCTATCTCCAAACCTTTTCAACCTGTATGCAGAACAGATGATCCAAGAGGCTGGGCTCTATGAGGAGAAATGTGGGGTCAAGATTGGTGGAAGATCTATCAACAATCTGCGATATGCGGATGACACCACCCTGCTTGCTGCAATGTGGGTCAAGGACTGCAGCCTCCTACATGGATTGAGGGTCAATGTCAAGACAAAGATTCTCACCACTGGACCAAATGGCAGCAACAGGATGGCTAGTAAAGAGATTAACGACTTTACTCTGCTTGGCTTCACGGTTAACACTCTTGAAACCAGTAGCCAGGAAAAAAAAAAAACATATTGTGATGGAAAAGTCTGCTGTTAGGGACCTCTCTAAAGTACTGAAGAGCAATGGTGTCACTCTGGAGACTAAGGTGCATCTGATACAGGCAATGGTGTTTGCAATCACTTGTTATGCTTCAGAGAGTTGGACAGATTAGGAGGGATAGAAGGAGAATTGATGCCTTTGAGCTGTGGTGCTGGAGAAGAGTACTGAATGTACCATGGACTGCTAGGAAAACAAACAGATCCATCCTAGAGAGGGTGAAACCAGGCTGCTCCTAGGAGGCAAGGATTCTGGGGCTTCGTCTGACATACTTTGGACATGTTGTAAGGAGAGACCAGTCCTTGGAGAGGGACATCATGCTTGGGAGGGTGGAGGGACAGTGCAGGAGGGGAAGACCCTCCATGAGGTGGATTGATTCAGTGACTGGGATAATCGGAATGGGTGTGTCAGGGGGACTGTGACCCGCACAGGATAGAGCAGGGTTTAGGGCTGTTGTACACAGGGTCCGATGAGTCTCAACAACAACAACACGGCAATATGACAATGCAAGCTGACCTTCAGAGAATGCGGCTATATTGGAAGTATTTTTGCAAACTTATTTTGCTTTCTCGGTTATATTTGTTTGACTCTATATAAAGGATTAAGAGAACAAGGAAGAATGAATTCTGAATCAGAAAAGAAATTATGCTCATCTTGATGACCACAACATAATGATTTAAACAAAAGAGGGGGATAGGAGGGAAGCCGAATATTAAATTTATTAGTTTAATGATAAACCAAATGACTTATCAGGAAATGAGGGAGGCTTACTACAAGCTGAAGGTCACCTAGTTGCACGAAGGCGTTCCCTAAGAGTCAACATTGTTCTCAGTTTGTATTAACTGAAACCCTCCCTCCTGAGATAAGCATAAAGAGGAACTTGGCCTCATCCTCAAAAGATTTCACCAGATCCCTTGTAGTATTTGCTTGTACTTCCTTATGATTTTAATCTGTTTAACTTCCTTCTCAATAAACACCCAGAGTCATGGCTTGAGGCCCTGAGTCATGGGAACTGCTGGCCCCCTGTTTTTTATGCTCTCTATTCTACCCCGGTGGTCGGCCTCATTATTATTTATAAAAATAATTTACTCTAAGAATACAACCTCCGCGCACACTCCCCTCCTGACACCCCCGGGGACTGACCACCACCCTGGTCATCTGCGCACACTCACCTCCCGGGGACTAACCACCACCCTGGTCATCCATGCACACCCACCCGGGGGACTGACCACCACCCTGATCCTCGGCTCACACCCATCTCCCGACCCCGGGGGACTGACCACCACCCTGGTCCTCCGCACACACTCACCTCCCGACCCCCGGGGACTGACCACCACCCTGGTCCTCCGCACACACTCACCTCCTGACCCCCGGGGACTGACCACCACCCTGGTCCTTCATGCACGACTGACCACCACCCTGGTCCTCCGCACACACTCACCTCCTGACCCTCGGGGACTGACCAGCACCCTGGTCCTCCGCGCACACTCACCTCCCGGTCCCCGGGGACTGACCAGCACCCTGGTCTTCCGCACACACTCACCTCCTGACCCTCGGGGACTGACCAGCACCCTGGTCCTCCGTCCACAGTCACCTCCCGACCCCCGGGGACTGACCACCACCCTGGTCCTCCGTCCACACTCACCTCCCGACCCCCGGGGACTGACCAGCACCCTGGTCCTCCGCGCACACTCACCTCCCGACCCCCGGGGAGTGACCAGCACCC